TATCAACATCATCGTGATCATCAGCATCATGATCACTCATCATCGTCATCGTCGGGGCACCATTACCATCATCAGCAACATCATCACCACCAACATCCTCATCGTCATCGGGACACCATCATCATCACCACTATCACCATCGTCGTGATCATTATCATCAACAACTGCGTCAACATCAGCATCATCATCATCATCGGGAAACCATCATCAGCACCACCATGATTATCACCAACATCATCTACATCATCAGCATCATCATCATCATCGGGACACCGACGGGGCACCGGCGGGACACCGGCGGGGCACCGCGCGGCACCGGCCCCCGGAGAGGAATCATTTGGTCCGGCCGCGCCTCAGCCGCAGGAGACTTTCTTCTCGCCCGCCCACGCAGCTTCGCCTCGCCCGCACACACGGCACGCACGAACACGAAACCGAAACCGATTTCCCAGTAGGAAGGCTCTCCGTTCTACTACTACTACTACTACTACTACTACTACTACTACTACTACTACTACTACTACTACTACTACTACTACTACGACTACTACTAATACTACTACTACTACTACTACTACTACTACTACTACTACTACTACTACTACTACTACTACTACTACTACTACTACTACTACTACTACTACTACTACTACTAGTACTACTGCTACTACTACTACACTACGGCTACTACTACTACTACTACTACTACTACTACTACTACTACTACTACTACTACTACTACTACTACTACTACTACTACTACTACTACTACTACTACTACTACTACTACTACTACTACTACTACTACTACTACTACTACTACTACTACTACTACTACTACTACTACTACTACTACTACTACTACTACTACTACTACTACTACTACTACTACTACTACTACTACTACTACTACTACTACTACTACTACTACTACTACTACTACTACTACTACTACTACTACTACTACTACTACTACTACTAGCCCACCCCCCCCTCAGGGGGACCCCCGACGACCATTCTATATGGGAAATACCGTATCGAAACCAATGTTTTCCTACACCGAAATTTACACAAATTTTAACAATGCAATCGGAACCCCATGCTGCACGCGCCCCCGCGCGCACGGCCCCCTGTACACCATCAAGTGTACTCATGTAGACCTTCACGCCCTGAAGATCTTGTTGTCGCGGCAAAACGTGATCACGTCCCCCATGGCCTTGAACCTGTCCTCCACGCCGATCCAATGGCACCACTGCCCCTCGCGCAGCGCCGTGGCACCCGAAGGGTTGGGCATCGCCGCCGAAAGAGTTGGGCATTGCACCCGAAGGGTTGGGCATTGCACCCGAAGGAGTTGGGCATTGCACCCGAAGGGTTGGGCATTGCACCCGAAGGGTCGGGCATTGCACCCGAAAAGGTTGGGCATTGCACCCGACGCAGTGGGCATTGCGCCCAGAAAGGAGTTGGGCATAGCAGCAGCATAGCAGCAGCATAGCAGCATAGCAGCAGCATAGCAGCAGCATAGCAGCAGCATGCAGCATAGCATAGCAGCAGCATGCCATCATCATACCAGCAGCATAGCAGCAGCATAGCAGCAGCATAGCAGCAGCATAGCATCAGCATCGCAGCAGCATAGCAGCAGCATAGCAGCATCACCACAGGGACGGGAAGGATACACCTCTGCTCTGTATCCTTTGGAAAGCACCACAAAAAGATTATATTGGAAAGCCTCACAATAAGAACCCTTTGGAAAATGCTACGAAGGGTTCCTATTGGAAAGCATCACAAAGGGAATCCTTTGGAAAACTCCACAAAGAAACACCCAAAAGGAAGCTCCCGCCTGAGAGGTCCCCAAAAAAACACTCAAAACGAGGCTCCCGCCTGAGAGGTCCCCAAAAAACCAAAAGAAATCCAAGAGCCACTTGTATAGTCTGATTGGTTGTAGACTGCAGGTTAAGTGGGAGGGGGTGTGGGCTCAGGTAGCCATTTTGGGTCCGTAGCGTTCGGCTCTGGCCGACGCGCGGGTGTTCCGGGGGGCCGCGGGGCGGCCGCAACCACAGCCGTGCTAGTCCGCGGACTAGGTAGCGCGTCTGTGGTGCCATGGCTGTGGGCTTCCTGGGAGCGCACCTGATGATCTTGGTTACGGGCGGTGCTTTCACGGTCCAAGGGGCACTTGGCTGGCTGCCGTTCGGGCGCGGGGGAAATGAGGTCCCAGCGCCGACGCCGTCAGCCCTGCCCGGGCCGACAGCGCTGCCGCCAGGCGGTGGGGGGCAAGGCAAGGGGCGAGGACCGCCCGCCAAGCCCGCGCCTGCAGGGGGAAAGGGGCGAGGGCCGCAGGCCAAGCCCCCGGGGGCGCCGGGCGTCCCCGCGCCGCCGCGGTCAGGGTCGACTACTACGACCACACCCGCGGGCATCGGGCGCGTAGGTGAGGGCGAGCCCACGGGCAGCCCAGCTACGCCGGCATACGAAGGGAACAACGAGCCCACGGGCGCGCCTGGGCAGCCGTCCGCCCCGGGAAACCGGACGGGCGATGGCGAGCCTGACCCGCCGCGCGGGCTGGACGGGTATTGGGGGTGGTGTGGTTGGGTCCCGCACCTGCCCCATTGGTGGGCTGGCCGGAACGTACCCCCACCGCCGCCGCCGCCACCTACCCCGCCCCCGGAGGCGGGGCCAGGTCCCGGTTGGGGATTCGCAGCCTGGGTCTTCGAGTTCGTGGGCTACGGAGCGTGGGTGAGTTCCCCCGACCGCACGGGCACGATCCGCACGAGCGGCGGATGGATTGGATCCGCCATCGACCGCCTGGGCGTCAAGATGCTTGGGTACTGGTGGGAGACCGCGGTCCTTTGCTTCGCCCTAGGCATCTTCACGTTCGTGTTGGGTGCCCTGGCCTTCATCGTCAACACCGCAGCCCAGCCTATGCTGTGGGCAGCCGG